GTATGAATGACATAATAAACATTGGCACTTCTTCTTTAGGCTACAACCTCCCTATCTGCACTCCCATTACAGCATTTTGAAACTCTTGCTTTTCTTTCCTCTTTTTAGAGATGTTAGATATGCTTTGTTTTGTGTTTCAAAGAGATGCTCTGTTTTCTTCCAATTCTCAAAAGAAAGCTGAATCTAAATTTTTAGCACTGGGTCATGGATAGAATGGGAACAGTCAAATCAAGGTAGGCTGTGATTAAGGTTGAACTTGTGCCTGTTTACACGCTTTAAAAAACTGCATAAATATGAATTAAATTTAAATATAATGAATAGGGGTAATCGTGACTTCAAGAGAGACTAAAAAGGCTAGTACTCTTCAGTTTGGGGGGAAAAAAGGCCGAGGTGGGATATGATAGAGGTCTAGAAGACCATGAAGGATATGCACAAGGGAACAGAGAACTGTTGTTCACCAAGTTCCAGAACAGTAGAATGAGGGGGCACACACTGAAATTAATAGGTCACAGTTTAAAACTAGAAACCAGAGAAATTACTTTTTTATGCCACATGCACTTAACTTGTGCAATTCATTGCCACAGGAAGTGTTCGAGGCAGTTAGCATAGCCAAGTTCAAAACGGGATTGAATAAATTAATGGGTGAGATATCTAGTATTAGCTATTGAACAGAATGACTAAAGGAGATGGAATCTCTAAACCAATAATGGTGAATGTCAGGGAGGGTACTGAATAGGAGATGGATCACTTTTAGATCAGGGTGGAGCCCTGATTTTTCCAAAGCAGGGTGTGAGGACAACAGCATTCACTGCAAGGGTGGCTGCATCCCTGTGTTCCCAGCCTCATTGCCCTTTACCTCCTTCCTCCCACAGGTACAGTGCTCTGGGAGCCTCCAGAAATTCTTTTCAAGTCTGTAATGCAGGTGAAAATCCCCCCTTCATGCTCAGAGGCAAATCCCCCTCCCTTTCTTTCCCCCTCTGCCTTTCCCAAACCTGCTGCTTTCCCTGCTGTCCCAGGGGGTGGGGGAAGCATGAAAGGTGCTTGTTCCTGCCTCAGCCAGACTGCGCAAGGGATGGGCTCAACTGTGGACAGGGACTGGACAGCAGCAGGAGGATGGGCTGGGGGGTTCCCTCTCCCTATGCCTGCTCCAAGGGACCTGGGCAGGGAGGAGGAAATGGCTCCTACCACACTGTTGCCACTGTGTTCATTGCCAATTGAGCCCAGCACCTGTGCAGCCTGGTTGGGGTGGGTAGAAGGAAGTCAGCAGCTTCTCCTACCCCCAGGACAGCAGGAAAAACAGGAGCAACAGATGAGAGAAGGGGAGGGGAAGGGATGTGCCTCTGAGCACTAAAGGCATAGGCGGCAGGTTGCGGCCCAGAAATGAGTCACAGGAATATATGAAAGGGTCACGAACAACCTGTAAAAATGAATCAACAAACTTTAAAAATGGATTCTTCTTTAAAGGAGAAAAATGTGGGAAACCGCAGCTTTTCTCCTTGCAGGCAGGAAGAGTTCCAGCCTGCAAGGGGCTGCTTGAGGTCCCCGCACACCCTTTCCCTACCCCTGGAGGGCTGGGGCCAGGGGGCAGCAAGTGGGAGTTAAGGGCACTGGGTTGAGACTGGCCATCCATGTTTACAACTGAGTCCTGGTCTAAAAGAGGTTGAGAAACACAGCTCTATAGCATCTACTTTTGCCACTGTCAGAGATGGGACACTAAACTAAATTGATCATTGGTTTGACAAGGATGGCACTTCTTAGATTCTCATTTTAATTAACTTTTTAACTGTGCTGTTTTTAAGTCAACAAGCTGTTAATTACATATTAATTATGTTGCATTCTAATGATATGTTCTCAGCTGCATACTTTAATCCCAAAGCAGGGAGGAAAATACTGATGAACAGGTGGAAAAAAAATTGTTCTTTAATTTAATAAGGCACGAAGGGTTGGGGGAGGAATCTAAGGACACTGATGTTCTAACAGTCTTGGCTGCCTGTGTACATTATCAAGCTTGAATGGCCTTTGCAGAGTTTGAAGAGAGATGTGATAGCTGTGATCGTGATGGGTGACTGAACACATTTTCTATCAGAGCTGCTCAGAGACAGCTAACAAATGCAGTTTTCATAATATTTCTTCTTGAGTAGTCAATCCCATGTGCCATTATTGCCCCCTCCTGGCTGAGAGAGACTAGTATTCAGTATAATCCAGAAATCCCAGGGGTTTTTTTAATACACACCCTAATTTCAATATGTGTGCGCACTGAGAACATTGAAGAAATACACACAGAGCAAAAGTAATCATTTTTAGATGCTGCTTGAAAAAACAGCCTTCATTTGGTTTCAGGCTTCCTGCATGACGTCAGTATCTCAAGTTTTTTGTTAGTTAGCTGCCTTACTGCCAGCTGGAAGTTAGAGGGAAGAAGACTAATATAGGCTGTGAGGAAGGCTTAACATTTATGAAGATCTGTCTATGGAGTGTGGTTCCTTCCAACCCCTAACAACAACTATGAAACTGTGTGCGTCTTGAATTTAATAACATAAGTATTGTAAACTAAGGGTGGGGCTTTCAGAAGTATTTGTTACCCTATTATCATTAAGTTGGAGGGAGTGTTACTGTGAATTTGGGTGGGAAGAATCAGGCTACCATAATTTGCTTTCTGAAAATCCTACCTGCTGTTTAAATTGATACTAGGCTGACTTCTTGAAGAGCTAGTATAATTACTAAAATTATGTATGCATGTATTAATTGTGCATGCTTAATATCACTGTTAATGTAGTGCTTTCTGGAAGGATAGGTATGGTTCCTTTAAGCTGTGCATTAGTATAGTGTTTTTTCCTTTACAAAAAGGCAAAAAAAAAAGCCCAGTGGGGGAAATTAACTGGAAGGAAAATGAATTTATTCAGTAGTAATGTTGAGGTGCTAATATTTATAAAATTAGGGAATAATGGTAGGTCTTTTGAATATAAACCTTCATATTACAAGACATTCCATCTCTCCTAGTCTTTGTCTAATACCCCATTTTAAATGAGGGAAACTTGGGAACCGCATGATTAAATGACTTGCTAAAGGTCATAAACACGTTAGTGACAGTCAGGACCTAAAACCAGAACTCTCAATTTCCATTGCAGCAATTTAACAACAAAGCCATCTTTCCCCAAGTACTTTTGTGACCAGTAACTGGTTGTCTCACTTTTCTCTTTGAAGGAGCTATATAATTTTTCTTTTAATATGTTTTTCCTGGAAATTAAATTGCCTTCTAATTACCTTCTTTTTTTTCCCCTTTTTTCTGTACTTGCCTTCAGATGTGGTTTTAGCAGTCACTGTCTTAATGACTGGAGATAAAAATCAGTGTTTTCTGGTGTCTGAAAGCAGATTTTAGTTCCCATTCTTCAGAGGATGCAAAATAATAACCTGCCCTGAGCAATTAAATGAGAGTTTCTAAAACATCAAAATTTGAAGTCAGGAAACTAGATGTTAACATCTCTTCATTTTCTTTAATTTTATTTCTTTTTTTCTTCCATGCTAGTTCTGCAATGTGGTGATTGAGTTCATATACAAAGCTGATTGTATTACAGAATGTGCATGCATTACATTACTAAACAGTACAGAAGAAGCCACAGAGAAAAGGTTCTCTTTGGTATAATGAAAGTGTGCTGCAGTGCAAATGTATGTCATTGACAATTTTTCAGTTGTCTTTAAATACACATACCTGAAGGTCAGTATTCTGTTGCAGGTAATAAGTATTCATTCACAAAAGGCAGTCTCAGTCTTTTAAAAAAAATCAAATTGCAAAAGACATTAATGATTGGTAATAAAAGGCATTTAGACTGTGTCATGGTAAAATGCCTTTCTTTTTCCCTTCTAGCTGAAACATGTAGCTAGTATGACAGGAAGAGATGGGCGGAAAAGAACTGTGAGTGCCCTTGTGGTTGCTGGAAATGGAAATGGGGCTGCAGGTAAGTGCAGTTGATAAAAAGTGTGTGGTTGCTTGGATGAGGGAAGAGGGAAGCATGACAAATAATATAGAGCCATACTGTTGATCTGCCTTTTTTTTAATTAATAAACTGGGGTTGTTTTATTTGTTTGTTTTTTTTACTGGAGACTAAGGCATAGAAAATAATATAGAAAGGGGAAGAGAATTTCTGTTGTAACTGATAATTCAGGGAAAAAAAACCTCATCAGGGACATCCATCATCCATGTTCTTATATGTAAAGCAAAGTAGCAAAGACTGAAATATAATATCCAATTATAACAGTAACTTTTGTTTAATTCCTGTGCAACAGGGCCAGTATTACTGGTGTATATACAAAACAGGTTACTTTACTTTACAAATTTCTTTACATACCGTTTTTTCTTCTGTATAACATGTTATTTATGATTAAAAGCCAACAAAGCAAATAATTTTGTTTTGGGGTGGTCGTTAAGACAATTAAACAAATGAGGAAAGGTGGCAACCTAATGTGAGTTGCTCTTTCCTATTTTGAAAATTATGCACGTTTTGTTACTGTATGCCATAGATGTAGGAATGGATATTTATGCTTTTGTTACTTATTACTCAGCTAGAAATAACTTACTGAACTGTGCGTGTGCTTGGGGAGGGTATGTTCTCACCTTCTACCTCAACATGATCTGTCCCAATTGGGTTGAAATGTAATGCATAGCTTACTAATAATCTTCTCAGCTAGTTCGAGTTACCCTGATTTAAAAAAAAGATTTTGAATTTATTTTAGGTTGAGTCTGTGAAACACATTGTAAGCTACCTCGTGCCCACAGTCCTTTCAGTATTCTCTGTTACTTAATGGATCAACTCACTAAAACACTCAGGTATATGGCAGCATTCCTTTAAATAGTGCAGCTGTTGGAATGTAATTGTAACATAAAATACTTCAGATGAAACCCTAGCCTCTTTGAAGTGTATATTAAAACTCAGTGACTTCAGTTATGCAAAATTTCACTGTTAACATTTTTCTTCTCCCATGAAGAGGTCTCTTCCACATGGAAGAGCCTATTCCATTAGGCCTATTAGAGAAACAGTGAGACTTTTTAAAAGTTCTGAATGATGCCAAAAGTAAATTGGGAAAAGTAGAGAAACACCAGACTGTAAAGGGTTTACAATATTGACAGGACAGTTGCATTTGCAGATGAATTTGTGCAGGTTTCCCACCACAAAAATAACCAGTAGGGGATGCATGGTTCATTTAATTTTCTGCATGAGAGAGATTAACTTTTAGAAGTTTGAGAAATCTGCATAAGTAGGAGGGGAGGAGTCTTTCTTCAAAGGAAACACTAATGGTCATGGTCAGAAGAGACTCCAGTTGATCATAGCTCTACTTTACCAAGCAGGAAAGGGGGAGTTTAATGTATCATGACTTCCAGGCTAAGTACAGCCAGTCAAAAGCCCCAAAGCTGAATTGATCCAATCTTTGCAGGTTAGTCTAAGCTGCATAGATTGAACCAGTAAGGAAGTGAGCAGATACTCACTTCTGATTCTGAAAATGCAGCTACGTGCCTACAGTGGCCCAGGCCAGAAGTCAGGGGGCACTAGAGCATACCTCCCTGCTTGGCTGGAGCAGATGGCTAGGGCCAAGCTAACTCATTTACCCTTGGGGGAGGGAAGGGGTTTGCAGAGGGGGTGCAAAGCATTGTGGGGTGCTGTGGGACTGTGAGTTAACTTGAATCTGCAGGGGCTCTGATACAGAAGGTCAATAAACCAATTAAACCTAAATCAGTTAAATCAGTTTTTACATCCACTGAGGTTTATCTTAAACTGGTTTCAGCCATTTTGAAAGAAGTTTATGTACACCAGGAATAGGCAACGTTTTTTGGCCAGAGTGCCAAAAAAACCACGATGTCTACCTTGGAAGGTGCTGGAGTGCTGACATGCCAGAGCCTGGAGTAGCTTTTTGCAGCCTCCCGGCTGCAGCAGACCCACAGGGCCCAGTCTGCCTGCAGCAGGGCTTGCAGCCTCCCAGCCGCCTGCTGGGAGCAGCCTGGGTTCTGCGGCTGGCAGCACCTGCCTAGAGCCTGGGCTGGCGGTGGTGTGCTGAGCAAAATGGCCTTACGTGCCATGGTCAGCACGTGTGCATGGGGTTGCTGACCCCTGATGTACACTGAACTTCTGTTGTGTTACATATTTGAACAGAATATTTCTTTTTAATAAAACAGCTGCTTGTCTTACAGGTTTTGCAGTGGGGAAAGCAAAAGACAGGATGACTGCTTTAAGAAAGGTATGTACTTTAAAAAAAAGTAAATACAGGCAGTCCTCAAGTTACAACATTTCAAGCTGCAATGTTTCACACCTACAGCGTTTATAAACTGACACCCTGTTTCAACTTTATGACATCAGTTTCAACTTTTACAATGCTTGATCAGATGTGACGCCACACCAGCGAACAAGTTCGCTGTGTTGCTCATCTCCCTGGAGAACATCTGTCCAAATTTCCTTGGACACTTTATTTAAAAAAGCAGACAAGACTCCAGAAAAACCTGCAGCCAAGACTCCTGAGAAGACTCCAGCCAAGAACTCGTCAAAAAGTCCAACCAAGAGCCCTTCAGAAAGTCCAGCAGTCACCTCAAAGAAGTCCTTCCAAATCAACATGATTGCTATTTACAATATAAATACATTCATGTAACTATATTACTCATCTAATAATTGATAGACTAGAAAATTCTGGTGTTTTTTTGGTGAAAATAGGGTATCGGGCCTTGGTTCACGAACCAATCCCCCATTTATAACATTTTCTTATGAGGAAAATTGGTTCAGGATTACAAAGTTTTCACTTAAGACACGGTTTTCAGGAACCAGTTGTGTTGTAAATCCAAGGACTGCCTGTATAATATGCAGTGTAGATTATCAGATAGAGAAATGTTTTAAAAAATTAGTCTCTTGAACATGGTGTTCATACAGGCAAAACTACTCAAAATCCAGTTGCTCAGAGAATTTTATTATCCTAAAATGACCTGTTTCATTTGAACTTTATTTCCTGTAACTGATGTATTTTGAAAACATTCATAAACAAGGATAGCTCTTGTAATTTTTGTATCCATTTTTTCTAGTGATTTCATTTTAAAACTGTATCTTTGAAAGGAGGAAATAAAACTTTCTTCTCATTGCTTTTTTTGTAAGGGTTTGGCCAAAGGGTTCAGGTGAGAGGAAGGGATAGTAGGAAGGTGCCATGTTTATTGCTAAAACCACTTTTTTGTTTCTTTAAGGAAATGTGTGTGTAGTTCTGCGCTTATAGTTCAGCTCTCTTCTAATGGTCAGATACTCCATCCTGCATAGGTTTTGGGGGGTTTTGATTCATAGCTATCCATGAATGGATGAATAAAGGTGGATTTCAGGCACTTAAGTAAAAATAAGCTTAACATTTAAGACAAAATATTTTTCTAATTTCTTTTCTAGGCAAAGAACCAGGCAGTTAACTATTTACACTATATAGAACGATACCAGAACCATACAAGTAAGTATTAAGTATTTTCTGGACTTCCTCTGCTGTTCCTTATCAAAAATCTCACTCTCCTCTTGTCCTGCCTTTTTCTTTCCTTTGTCTCTGAGACTAGAAACAGGCATCATCAAATGAACCGGATCAGCTGTGTCGTGATATGTTCTAGCACAGCCGATCCACCTCATTGGGTGAAACGCACGTTGCCTATTGTCCTGTCCATTGATGCTGCAAGATAATGGGCATCGTGTTCTCCCAGGGCTTGAGGAGCACCCTGGGAACTCCTGGGCAGGATTAGGCTTCTCAGCCCCTGAAAGCACCTGCCTGGCATTCCGTGCTTCCCCAGATGTGTCCCCAGAGAACTTGGGGTCACATCTGGGTAAGTGGATGAAACCTGACCTGCCTCATTTACCTAAACGTGTCCTTGGAGATCTCAGGGACACATCTGGGTAAGTGGGGAAAGCTGGGCAGGGGCTTCAAGGACTTCAGGGGTCTGATTCTGCCCAGGAATTCCCAGTGTGCAGAATTGGGCCCTGCAAGCCGCCAGGACAGGCAGCTGGCAAGTGAGGGCAGCTCAGGGCTGCCTGCACTCTCCAACCATAAGCAAATAGATGTGTGCTGCAATAAAGCAACACAGATTATTACTACCTTTCATCACAGCCACAAATGTGAGCATTTGGGGTGTGACCAAATTTTTTTTTCACTTTGGGCCATAAAAATGTTTATAGTAACAGAAAGGCAACCAGAGGTGACATCTGTTTCCACATTGGCAGTCTCCTTTTCCAGCCTGTCCTCTCTTGCTCTGAATTCTTTGCCTGGCATCAGAAAAAGCAGTCTTTCAAGATGGTGGAGTTTGAATCCATTGGGGCTTTAGTGTCAACATAGACAAGTTGGTTCATTGTTTGTTTAATAGCCCATTTACCCCTTAGCAGAGCACTTAGGCAGATCCTCACATAAACGCATTTAACCCAGAAATATTTCAAACTGTACTATATCCAAAACATCAACCACCTCCCTAAGAAGACCATACTTGCAACCATGGATGTTACCAGCCTGTACACTAACATCCCACAGCTGCTGTAATTAAAACATCCAAAGCATCTCGTGTATCAGCATCCCCACACTTAAAAATGGGGGCGGGTATGCTTTAAAGCTTGTTCGAAGAGCTTTAGATACAGTGCCCCCACTGCCATTTTTAAGCACAGGGATGCTGGAGACTGCTGGAGCGCATGGTAGTTACTGTGCTCGAGCAGACTTGATTGATCGAGTCTGCTCTGATGCGCTGTAATTACAGAGTAGCCTTGCTGCTTGTGTATTTGTACCCTTAGATACCAGTATAGTATCTTCTAGTGCTGTTATACTAAGTTTGTGCCAGGCAGTCTGTCTGCCTTTACATTAGAATATATAATACTCATGTATTTACATTAGCATAAGCAATGTATAGAGTGACCCATTCTTATAAAGTAAATCCTACAGATTCTATATAAAGAAGTATTCGTTATGGTGAAAAAGTTGTATATTGTCTGCTTAACCTATTCTGTTTGTTCTTTCATTTTTATCAACTGAAGAATGTACATAGTACATGAGCTAAAAAAATCATTGAAATATGTATCTTCTACAAGACACAGAGATTTATAATTAAATATATTGGGGTACTTTGAAAATATAGTATATAAACAAAAGTTTATGCAGTCTGATGTGTTTATGTATACCGTCCTAATGAATATGAGCAATGGACCACCTACCAGAGGTAGGGACAATCTCAGGGATAGCTCTGTCAGGCCTTCAGTCGGCGCAGATGTAGTTAGGGATCTTCTGGAAGGGCTGGACATTTTTAAATCTGCAGGTCCAGATGCCCTCCACCCGAGGGTCTTGAGGCAGCTGGCAGGAGTCATTGCGGAGCCCTTGGCCCGACTATATGAGCATTCGTGGTCATCTGGCCAGGTGCCGGGGGATTGGAAACTGGCTAATGTGGTCCCAATTTTCAAGAAAGGGAGGAGGGAGGACCCAAGTAACTATAGGCCTGTAAGCCTCACCTTGGTACTTGGGAAGATGTTGGAGAGAATCAATGGTAATAAGCTGATGGAGAATAGGTTTAGGTTAGAGATCAGGGGGCAATATTTTACAGTTAGGGTGGCCAAAATCTGGAACCAACTTCCCAGGGAAGTGGTCATCGCCCCTACCTTGGGCAAATTCAAGAGGAGGTTGGATGATCACCTGTCTGGGGTCTTGAGAACCCAGCATTCATTCCTGCCTGTGGCAGGGGGTCAGGCTAGATGATCCGTTCAGGTTTATGCTGACCCTACTATGAAACTATGACCACTACCGATTGCACATACAACTTTCATGTTTGCATTTCCTCATTTACTATGCAGCCATAATTTTCATGCAGTTCATTTTTTCTCAATAAACTAAAACTAGGGAAGCTGCCTTTTGAACTTATTCCATGGTCTGATGATCCAGATGAACAGTCTCAGACCTTGCAAAAAAAATCAGTTTATAGTGCCCTGTAGAGTAGTGCAGGGCTCTTCTGTTGAGCCATCATAGGTTGAGTTGCTGCAGTACTCTGTAGTTAATTCAGATGTACACAGCTAGTTCCAAACAAGAAATACAGGGGATATTTCTGTTATCTTTCTGAAGTAGAGTTCACTAGGTGCTGGGGCAGTGGATATTCTGTAGGAAAATCCTAAATTTGGAAGGAAATCTGAGCATAAAGACTTTTTAATTTAAATTGCCAAACTTCAATAAGGAGGTAAGTTTATACCATATGTTAGCTTTGTTCAAACCAAGTGGGATCATTATCTACTTATTAATTCTCTTTATTTGCAAAAAGTTGTTTGATACTGTCTGTGTTCAGGAATATTTGCAGTTATCTTAATAATTTTTTAAAATTTACCTGTGTGCCCTTCTCTGTCAAATTTCAAAAGAGGATAAAACTAGTTTCATTTTAGGACTAGGGACAAGGAATGTATTCCTTATACAGGCTGAACTGAATCATTCCTTCAGAGAATTATACTGTAACACTTTTTTTTCAGTTTATCATGACATTACGACAACTTTTAAAAAAACAACCATCCAGCTGAGAAGACGACGCAAAGGTAACTAAAAGACTTCCAAGTAGTATTCTGCAGATAATTAATATTCCTTGGGTAAAGGTAAACCTGTATAGTAACATGAACCACTTTTGGTGTAATTTCTTCATAATAATACAATCTGATATTAGTCCATGATGTTTTGCTAGCAGTAGGCAGTCTGTTACATTAAAAATACCAGTCTTTGCTAAGTCCTTATTGCATAGTTTAATTAGTACTGTCTGTGGTCCCATTTGTTGCTATTTCTGCCTCTTCCTCCTTTACGCCTCCAGTCACTGTCTCCCCAAATATCTCTGTGATCATTCCCTTACATCTTTATTATCCCCACATTCTTCAGCATCTCCTTCAAACTACTTAACTTGAAAGAGTTGTACTCATAGTGGCTAGAATTTTGGCATGTTTTCTACCAGGAGTTGATTTAAAAATGAACAACCCATTAGAACTAATTCAAGCAATATACACCATTTTACTCGCACATATACGTACCATAACCATATAGTTTAAGCACTAGTAACACTTCTTCCCAGGTTATTTGTTTTTTCTAAATCTTCATGACTGGGTATGGTGATCGTGGTACGCCTGAGAAAATGGAGCATGCTGGAGACCAGAAATCCCCACATACCTCTTTGTTTTCCTAGTTTAGCAGGGGTGGGCAAAGTCTGGCCCACGGGCCGGCAGTGGTCTCCATTTCCCAGCAACCCCTGCCCATGTGGCTGGTCTCCATGTGATAGTGGAAGGCTGGGGTTTTGCCATGGAGACTGGCCCCAGCTGCACTGGCAGACAAGCAAGTAAATGCCTGCTTTCAACTCTGTCATACCATGCTCTGGAAGTAATACCAACTACTCATAATTATTCTAGTGTCTCTTCATCTCCTGTGGTTCACCAACAGGCTGCCAGGCTTTCTAACTAGGCAGATTGTCCAAAAAAAAAAAGGTCCAGCATAGAGTTGATATGCCTTTGTTGGGAGAGTTTTTTTGTTTTAAAGGACATATGGCCTAAGGTTCATACCAGATGCCTGCTTTCTGGAGTGATAATAGGAACATGTATTTTCTCTTGCAGGTCTTTCTTCCAGTTCCCCTTATCCTCAAATGATAGCTTAACTCAAATGAGATTAGTCATGATCATTCTCATCACTCCCTACCAACCAGTGCATGTTTGAGTGACAAATGAGCCTCTTGTCAAGTTCCTAGACCTGACTGCATAGTATCATGGTCACATATTCTATCCAGACCTAGAGTCTTTGCTTCTGACTGCCTCGATGTCAGCTGGTTAAATACCAAGTATCATGACTTTTGGCAGGGAATGTGCTTGAGCTCTGGGCTGCTGCAACTAGGATGATTCAAATAACTGAAGTCAGTTGATTTTAAAATAAACTTGGATATTGCAATAGCGTACTGCAGTCTCACAGGGTAGACGCACCTGTTTAAAGGTTACACAACAGCCTTCTGTTTGCCTGTAGAGTTATATGTGGTCTTCTCTTGCCTGCTGGTCTCCAACGTCCATAAGGGTCTGTTTCACACTTGCCCACTACTGAAAGAACCTGCTGTTGCTTGAGACCTCAGTGTTTTCTGAAACCTCAACCCATGTTCATCCTGGGTCATCTCAGAGTTCTGACCAAGTAAATCAGTGGAATTGCTTATCTTTCTGAAAGCTCCCCTCTACATTAGAAAAGAGGTTATACTTCTGGCCTTTCCCAGAACCCCACTTCATTATCTTCTACAGAACCAATCCATTAAATCTATGTCCATGGTTGTTCCTGGTGGTAGCTGCCTGTTCCAAAAGTCAGGCTGTTTCATTACAAAAATCATCCAGATGGATGACCTGTTATATCTTGCTGTGTTACCATAGCTTATATATGTCTCCCCTGCCATGGAGCTTGAGCCACATTGTCAGTCACCTTCCGTAAGGTGCAGATTGGTTAATATCCTCCAGATTATTGTGGAAAGCAAAAGATGGACTTAGCTACTGGGGAGGTGCCAGATTTAGGAAAGCAGTGCTTGCAGTCACTGTTCAGCTGGGGCAGTGATGCTCTTTGTCACACCATCCAGAGGTAGTGTTCAATGGTCACCTGCAGTGGCATCCACGCTGATGCAAATTCACAAAGGCAGAACAGTTACCTACCTGATGGCAACTGGTTCTTCAAGATGTTGGAGGTACAGGCATACCTCGGAGATATTGCGGGTTCGGTTCCAGACGCCGCAATAAAGCGAATATCGCAATAAAGCGAGTCACACGAATTTTTTGGTTTCCCAGTGCATATAAAAGTTATGTTTACACTATACTGTAGTCTATTAAGTGTGCAATAGCATTATGTCTAAAAAAACAATGTACATACCTTAATTAAAAAATACTTTATTGCTAAAAAATGCCAACCATCATCTGAGCCTTCAGCGAGTCGTAATCTTTTTGCTGGTGGAGGGTCTTGCCTCAATTTGTAAAAAACGCAGTATCTGCGAAGCACAATAAAGTGAAGCACAATAAAATGAGATATGCCCGTATTGTGGATTCCATAGTTCACCCTTCTTCCTTGCTTTTTATGAACTTTGAGTTCAGAAGAAAATGAGGGAGGATTTTTGCTGCCCTTTGTCCTTCATACCTTTACTTGGGAGCATACAGCACCGCAGCTAACATGTATCGCCCTACCAGACACTTATGTTTAAGGGCATGTGTCTTGTGTGCATAAACCCTGACACTGAGATCAGCGTCACCTACAGCTGCTCAGAAAAAGCCACAAAACAATTACTTGTTCTACCATAACTTCCTCATCCGTTCCTGAAGTGTAGTGCATTTTGGCCAAGGTCTGACTGGGATTATAGGGAGAACAACCATAGGGCCTGGTGTCTTACTCATGAGGGTACAACATCAGTGCTTTCAGGAATTATTTGTTGGATCCTGTGTTTAAACTTCTTCATACAGAATTTTTTTTAATCTATTTGCTGTACATTAGTTTTCAGTGTCCTGGGTTTTATTTCTTGAATAGTTCTATTTTTAAACAAATTACTGATGCCATGAGTAAGCAGCAGAGGTTAAAAAGAAAGGTTCCTGTACAGACATGACCTCATTTGAATGGACTGAATTTATTACAGCAGAATTTATTGTTTTGCAGAACATTGATTTCAAAAGGAAATGAATATCGGCAGCAGATGACATTAAGTTCACAGGATAGGTTTAGTTTATTGTGTAGTGTCTTAGTTGGTGATATAATTAGGGTATACAAGAGGAGCACAAATACAGTGACAGTTCTTTGTATGTAATTTCAATTTCATTCGTCACTAATTAAACTAAATGCTAGTGCATTTGAAGAGAATTGTTATATTTCACACATATGGGAAGTGCTTAATGATCGGTTCTCAATGAATCCAGAGACCTGTTATACTTTTGCAGATTTAAGTGTTCGTTGTATTCAACTGTTTAGTTATTTTATCAGTTTCTACAGTCTTAACAATAGCTTTAGTAGTCTGGTGCACTGACATGTACTTTTGATTTACTGTTGCTATAACATGTCTCTGTCTTGTGCTGCCATGTTGCTAGTATGAGATGATTGCTAATATATAAAATTATTAAGATAATATGGTTTTACTAGCACCCAATATGAGTGTGAATTTTCAGCATGCTGTTTTTTCTAAATTAAAAACAATTTTATTTTCAGAGTAAGTTTTTAGTAGTTATAAAATAAATAAAATCCTAACATGTTTAGGACACTCTTCATAAAACAACAGATAAGTAAAGTCAGATTGGCCTCTTGTTTAGCCATGTTGAATTTAATAGGTTGTATGGTTATAACTAAATACAGTTTGCTTCCCAATGTTTTAAGGTAGCTTAAATAAATCTCAAATAAGTTGGCAGTATTGTAAAGCACAGATACCTGAATACCAGAAGTATTCTTACTGAACTAAACACTTACATTCTTGTAAAAGAATACTGCTACTAATGTAAAATGCCAAAGTAAAGCTCTCATTAAGAACTATTAGGTTCTCCCCATGGGAAATGGAAGAAGACGTTTTTTCAATATCTTCCTTCCAGTCTGGTCAACAGTACTGCATTTATAAGCTCTATCCAGAAGTAAGAGCTGCCTAGGGCACCTTAGAAGTGGCATTCATTCCTCAGATTATTATTGTCTTGTAATCTTGTTGATAGGATGGGTAGTGAAGTCTGGCCTTTTCATCATCTCATGCTTTTTCCAGAAATTATCTTCTAGTAGCTTAATGTTCTGTTAATTCCCTGCCCTCTGTTCCTTTTAAGTATTAAACATGATGTCCTGAGATGTCCCTTCCAATCCTAATTTTCTATGATTCTATGTTATCTGATAACCCATGACTGACCATGCTTAGAGCAGGGTAAGTTACACACACATTTTATTTTATGCCTAGAATAATGCTTACGTTTTTGTTCTTTTCAACAGCATCACACATGGGTGACTGGTGCTGCCTTAGGGCAGGCATATGCCCCCTCCCCCAGTGAGCAGTCAGCGACTAGGGGAGTGTCCCCCTCGCAGCTGATCATGTGGTGGCCAATCACTGCAGCCGCTTCCAGAAGTTGGTGCGGCCATTTCTGGGAGCACCACAGCACTCCCACTCCCCAGCCGGTACTTGCACTGGCGCTCCCCCCTGCCTGTCACCTAAGCAGCGAGCATGATCAGTCAGTGGGTGCATGTGCACCCCCCTGCATATCGCCACTGGCATCACATCTAGTCTGCAGTCCACTCTAACTCTCACATCATTTTTTGCTGTATTGCAGCCTAGCTATTTATTCCCCATTTTGGATTTGTGCATTTGACTTCTCCCTTATCAGGATAGTACTTTACAATTACCTTTATTGAATTTCATTGGGTTGCTTTCTGACCACTCCTCTGGCTTGTTGAGATAATTTTACATTCTGGTCCTGTCCTTCGAAGTGCTTGCAACCACTCCTAGATTCATGAGCTTGGTCTCTGGCTCCATTACTGCATTATTATTTCCTTTTTTTAAATAGAAGGTACTTAGAAATTAAATCAGAATACACTGAAA